AGATACATACATAGATAGATAGATAGATAGATAGATACATAGATAGATAGACAGAGAGACAAATAGATAGAGAGACCGCTAGATAGATAGATAGATAGAAAGATGGATAGATAGATAGATAGGTAGATAGATAGATAGATAGGTTTCCTAGAGGTTTCCTATTTTTGAAACTTCCGCCACTGCCTTGTGCGGTACTACTGGCATAAATTTGAAATATATGTATAAATAAATGAATAGAAGTCAAAGTTTCAGGCCTAGCAGCATGTGTAGTTGACTTGAATGCTGCTTGCTGGATATTCCAGGGTGAAGCCTGTCAGCATTCGGTTCTGGCAATCTATCGCCATGTCCTGCTCAGTGAGCACAAACTTCCATGGCTGCAAAGTTCCAGCTGCGCGAGTAGCCGTGGTGACAGATGAGCACTGGGCGTCTGTCGTTGGAAGCACCGGTTTGGTAGCTGGGCAGCACTTGTAGTTGATGTTCCAGAAAGGGGCTCTAACACTGCCGCTCGTGGGGGGGACCGGGACCAACTCAAAGCTTTTCAAAACTTCTGATCCCACTGTACACGTCGCAGCTGTAGCAACACTGGCAGGAGCTGTTAATGTCCTGCAGCCTGCATCGTCCATCTGGATCCTTCTGCAAGTATTTACCATACTGATCTGATTCTCATTTCCATGGTTTCCAAAGGCCCAGGTCTCAAGGGCAGAGAGGGCTCCGCATGGTGCTACAGCCTTGATGCTACCAATGTCTACAATTGGCGTTCGAACTTCAATGTTAGGGATCCTGGCAAGAATCCATGACCCTTTGAATTGATCCCATTGCACGGTCTGTAGCTGCTCATTAATCTCCCTCACTTGCCTCAGCAAAGGAACATTCACGCAGCGAAATTTGGCAACATAGGTGGAGGGGACGGTGCTAGCCGATGGTAGGAGGCTAAATGCTCTCAAAGCTTGTCCGGTTGGACAATTGAAATTGAGAGCAGCCAGCCGGTACCTGGTTGGATCCCAGCTCTGCAAATAGTTTATCTTCGATCTGGTTTCTCTCTACATTGACTCTACATGATCATTATCCCAAAAAAAAAATGAAACCGCCAAGTTACAGTTCAACCGCGCCGACACCAGTGGTCACAGTCGCAACGGTCTCACTCTCACCCTCCACACCATCAGATGGAGCCACTGCACAGCAGGTATACTCAACGGATTCAGTGGTCGTCACCTGCCACTGGCGCACAGCGAAACCTTGTCCACAGTCAACCTTGTATCCAATGCTTGGATCATTTGAATTCGGCATTGTACTGCTGGTGGTGCAGCCATCAGGATTGAGTCCAGCCAGTCTGGCTGGATCCATCCCTGGCGCCATGCAGGTGTAGGAGACCTGTATCTCATTCAAAGCCTGCAAACCTTCTCTGGAGACACTGAACTGGGACATGATGGTTCCTCCTGTCAAAGAAAAACACCCAAAAAAAATATTCGATCGCCATGGGATCAGCACTGGCATATCAACGACTCTTGTGAAGAAAAAAACATGTTAAAAAAACTTTTGCGAGAAAAGCGGGTTTCCAACATCAAGAGAGACTCATAATCACATCGTGTCACAGGTGATATTTTGTGGCCGTCCTGGACAGGAAACATCATGAGAAGTTAGGGCAAGCAAGCGTGGTACGGGTGGATTACTTCCAACCCTGTCTGGTGCCCTGGCTGTGTTAAGGCGCTCCAAATTCCAGAACTCTGGCGTCACTTCAATGATGGATCGAGGCACAATGTCCTGAATGTCGCAGAACAATTGCGGTACCATGAAATCTGGTCAAAGAAAGCAGCTTTCACTGGGTCGGTTTAGGGGAAAATGTGGAGACCATGGCTTTGGATTGCTCTGCCCGCCTTTTTTATCTTTTTTGGCCAACACACCCAAAGAGAAGCTGCCAAAAAGTTTTGGCTTATCTCCAGGTGGACTTTCTGTCTTCGCGAAAACGGCAAACGCATGCAGAAGTAGGAAAGTCACAGAGGGAATGAGCTAAACTCCCCCTGGCTGGATTGTGTAAAAAAAGGGTCAATGGGTTGAAGGCATCCACCACGAATGAACACCGCTGAAGCATGGATGACAGATTGAAAATCCAAGTCTTACACATAGTCCCATGCGCCATCCCAAAACTACGCGCTATCAATATGTATCAATGCATGTTGGGACGATCTATACCTCCTCGAAGAGGTGTGTTGTGACCCACGGTTTCCGAATGTGCAGGGGGCTGATTGACTTGGCCGCAGTGAGTTTGCACATGTGCCCTCTGGAGTCGCTTTGCAATTGGCATGTTCTGAAAATGGTGAGTAAACAAGAGCATGCTGCAGCTTATGTGAGTTCTCAGAATCTAACAGGCACAGAATCGCCTGAAACAGGTCAAAAGACCTGAGAAGGGGGGACGAAAGCCAGCCCTTAGCCCGAATCTTTTTGTTTCCGCAGAGAAATGTCGTGGTAGCGGCCATGATCGAAGTTATCACCCCCCAACGTCCTCTTACAATCCCGCATGAACAGAAGCCCAAACCATCTGCAGCACCTTTGGAAGACTTCTCCTTGCTTTGCAACCCTTCGCCCCCCCTTCCTCAGTATCACTTCTCATCCCCGTGCAAACTATCTAGTTCCGAACCCCAACGGACGCTGCTCTCCGTTGAGCTTCGGAATTCCTCCATTTTCCTCCGTTTTCCCGCTGCTTCGAACGATTTTCCTTCATATTCTTTCGTTTTTTTCAAACCTTTTTCCTGCCGTTCCTCCACTTTCCTCCGTTTTCCTCCTCCGTAACCTCCCGTAACCTACCGTAACCTCCCGTGACCTCCCGTGACCTCCCGTGACCTCCCGTGACCTCCCGGCCAGGATTTGGCCCAAAACGGCCATGTCCCAATGATCACAGAATGAGAAATTCAATAGGCGACCGCAGGGCCGCTAAAGGGCAGAATGTTGCTCCCATGCTTCCCCGTAACCTCGCGTAGCCAACTGTCACCTCCCTCCCATACAGAGACAGACACAGACACAGAGAGACATACACACAGCACTCTACACTTCACACTCTACACTTTACACTCTACACTTTACACTCCACACTCCACACTCTACACTTTACACACTACACTTTACACTCTACACTCTTCACTCTCCACTCCACACTTTACACTTTACACTCCACACTCTACATTTTACACTCTACACTTTACACTTTACACTCCACACTCCACACTCGACACTTTACACACTACACTTTACACTCTACACTTTACACTCCACACTCCACACTCTACACTTTACACACTACACTCGACACTCTTCACTCTACAATCCATACTTTGAACTTTACACTTTACACTACTCACTCCACACTTTACACTTTACACTGTGCACTCCTCGCTCCACATTTTACACTTTACACTCTACACTTTACACTCTACACTCCACACTTTGCACTTTACACTTTACACTCCATACTCCACACTTTACACTCCAGACTCCACACTCTACACTTTACACTCCACACTCCACACTCTACACTTTACACACTACACTTTACACTCTACACTCTTCACTCTCCACTCCACACTTTACACTTTACACTGTACACTTCTCACTCCACACTTTACACTCCACACTCTACACTTTACGCTTTACACTCCACACTCTACACTCTACACTCCACACTTTCCACTTTACACTTTACACTCCATACTCCACACTCCACACTCCACACTCCACACTCTACACTTTACACTCCACACTCTACACTTTACACACTACACTTTACGCTCTACACTCTTCACTCTTCACTCTCCACTCCATACTTTACACTTTACAATTTACACTTTACACTCCTCACTGCACACTTGACGCTCCACACTCCACACTTTACACTCCACACTCTACACTTTACACTCTACACTTTACACTCTACACTCTACACTCCATCTTTACACTTTACACTGTACACTCCTCACTCCACACTTTACACTTTGCACTCTACACTTTACACTCTACACTCCACACTTTACACTTTACACTCCATACTCCACACTTTACACTCCACACTCTACACTTTACACTCCTCACTCCACACTCTACACTTTACACACTACACTTTACACTCTACACTCTTCACTCTCCACTCCACACTTTACACTTTACACTTTACACTTTACACTCCGCACTGCACACTTGACGCTCCACACTCCACACTTTACACTCCACACTCTACACTTTACACTCTACACTCTACACGCTACACTCCACACTTTACACTGTACACTTTTCACGCCAGACTTTACACTTTACACTCTACACTTTACACTCTACACTCCACACTTTACACTCGACACTCCACACTTTACACTCCACACTCTACACTTTACACTCTACACTTTACACTCTTCACTCTACACTCCACACTTTCCACTTTACACTTTACACTCCATACTCTACACTTGACACTCCACACTCCACACTCTACACTTTACACTCCACACTCCACACTCTACACTTTACAAACACACTTTACACTCTACACTCTTCACTCTTCACTCCATACTTTACAATTTACACTGTACACTTCTCACTCCACACTTTACACTTTAGAATCTACACTTTACACTCTACACTCTACACTCCACACTTTACACTTTACACTGTACACTTCTCACACGACACTTTACACTCCACACTCTACACTTTACACTCTGCACTCCACGCTCTACACTCTACACTCCATACCTTACATTTTACACTGTGCACCCCTCACTCCACACTCCACACTCTACACTTTACACTCTACACTTTACACACTACACTTTACACTCTACACTTCACACTCCACACTCCACACTCTACACTTTACACTCTACACTTTACACACTACACTTTACACTCTTCACTCTACACTCCATACTTTACACTTTACACTTTGCACTCCCCACCCCTCACTGCACACTTTACACTCCACACTCCACACTTTACACTCCACACTCTACACTTTACACTCTACACTTTACACTCTACACTCTACACTACACTTTCCACTCCACACTCTACACTTTACACTTGACATTTCCGTCATTTTCTTTAGTTTCTCCTACCTTTCTGCTGCCGTTCCTCCACTTTCCTCCGTTTCTCCCTCCGTAACCGCCCGTAACCTCCCGTGACCTCCCGTGACCTCCCGGCTAGGATTTGGCCCAACACGGCCGTTTCCCAATGATCCCAGAAGAGAAATTCAATAGCCGACCGCAGGGCCGCTCAAGGGCAGAAAGTTGCTCCCATGCTTCCCCGTAACCTCGCGTAGCCAACTGTCACCTCCCTCCCATACAGAGACAGACACAGACACAGACAGACATACACACAGCACTCTACACTTCCCACTCTACACTTTACACTCTACACTTTACACTCCACGCTCCACACTTTACACTCCACACTCTACACTTTACACTCTACACTCTACACTTTACACTTTACACTCCACACTCCACACTCCACACTCTACACTTTACACACTACACTTTACACTCTACACTTTACACTCCACACTCCACACTCTACACTTTACACACTACACTCTACACTCGACACTCTTCACTCTACACTCCATACTTTACACTTTACACTTTACACTTTACACTCCTCACTCCTCACTGCACACTTTACACTCCACACTCTACACTTTACACTCCACACTCTACACTTCACACTCTACACTCTACACTCCACACTTTGCACTTTACGCTCCACACTCCACACTTTATACTCCACACTCCACACTCTACACTTTACACACTACACTTTACACTTTACACTCTTCACTCTACACTCCATACTTTACACGTTACACTTTGCACTCCGCAATTTCTCACTGCACACTTTACACTCCACACTCCACACTTTACACTCCACACTCTACACTTGACACTTTACACTCCACACTCTACACTCCACACTTTCCACTTTACACTTTACACTCCATACTTTACACTCCGCACTCTACACTTTACACTGCACACTCCACACTCTACACTTTACACACTACACTTTACACTCTACACTCTTCACTCTCCACTCCATACTTTACACTTTACAATTGACACTTTACACTCCTCACTGCACGCTTGACGCTTCACACTCCACACTTTACACTCCACACTCTACACTCTACACTCTACACTCCACACTCTACACTCTACACTCCACACCTTACACTTTACACTGTGCACCCCTCACTCCACACCCCTCACTCCACACTCCACGCTCTACACTTTACACTCTGCACTTTACACTTTACACTCCACACTCCACACTCCTCACTTTACACTCCACACTCTACACTTTACACTCTACACTTCACACTCCACACTCCACACTCTACAGTTTACACACTACACTTTACACTCTACACTCTTCACTCTCCACTCCATACTTTACACTTTACACTTTACACTTTACACTCCTCACTGCACACTTGACGCTCCACACTCCGACTTTACACTCCACACTCTACACTTTACAGTCTACACTTTACACTCTACACTCTACACTCCACACTTTACACTTTACATTGTACACTTCTCGCTCCACACTTTACACTTTACACTCTACACTTTACACTCTACACTCCACACTCCACACTTTACACTCCACACTTTACACTCCACACTCTACACTTTACACTCTACACTTTACACTCGTCACTCTACACTCCCCACTTTCCACTTTACACTTTACACTCCACACTCCACACTTTAAACTCCACACTCCACACTCCACACTTTACACTCTACACTTTAGACACTACACTTTACACTCTACACTCTTCACTCTCCACTCCACACTTTACACTTTACACTGTACACTTCTCACTCCACACTTTACACTTTACACTCTACACTTTACACTCTACACTTTACACTCTACACTCTACACTCCACACTTTACACTTTACACTGTACACTTCTCACTCCACACTTTACACTTTACACTCTACACTTTACACTCTACACTCCACACTCCACACTCCACACGTTACACACTACACTTTACACTCTACACTTCACACTCCACACTCCACACTCTACACTTTACACACTACACTTTACACTCGACACTCTTCACTCTACACTCCATACTTTACACTTTACACTTTACACTCCCCACTCCTCACTGCACACTTTACACTCCACACTCCACACTTTACACTCCACACTCTACACTTTACACTCTACACTTTACCCTCTACACTCTACACCTCACTTTCCACTCCACACTCTACACTTTACACTTGACATTTCCGTCATTTTCTTTGGTTTTCTCCTACCTTTCTGCTGCCGTTCCTCCACTTTCCTCCGTTTCTCCCTCCGTAACCGCCCGTAACCGCCCGTGACCTCCCGTGACCTCCCGTGACCTCCCGGCCAGGATTTGGCCCAAAACCGCCGTTTCCCAATGATCCCAGAAGAGAAATTCAATAGCCGACCGAAGGGCCGCTAAATGGCAGAAAGTTGCTCCCATGCCTCCCAGTAACCTCGCGTAACCAACTGCAACCTCACTCAGACACAGACAGACAAAGACACAGCAAAACGCTCCACACTCCACACTCCACACTTCACACTCTACACTTTACATTTTACACTCTACACTCCACACTCCATACTTTACACGCCACACTCGACACTTTCCACTCTACACTCCACACACTACACTTTACACTCCACACTTTACACTCCACACTCCACACACTACACTTTACACTACACACTCTACACTTTACACTCTACACTCTACGCTCCACACTCTGCACTTTACACTTTACACTCCGCACTCCACACTTTGCACTCCCCACTCCACACTCCACACTCTACACTTTACACACTACACTTTACACCGTACACTCTTCACTCTACACTCCATATGTTACACGTTGCACTTTACACTCCTCACTCCTCACTGCACACTTTACACTCCACACTTTACACTCCACACTCTGCACTTTACACTCTACACTTTACACTCTACACTCCACACTTTACACTTTACACTCCATACTTTACACTCCACACTCCGCACTCTACACTTTACACACTACACTTTACACTCTTCACTCTACACTCCATACTTTAAACGTTACACTTTGCACTCCGCAATTTCTCACTGCACACTTTACACTCCACACTCCACACTTTACACTCCACACTCTACACTTTACACTCTACACTCCACACTTTACACTTTACATTGTACACTTCTCGCTCCACACTTTACACTTTACACTCTACACTTTACACTCCTCACTCCTCACTGCACACTTTGCACTCCACACACCACACTTTACACTCCACACTCTACACTTTACACTCTAAACTTTACACTCCACACTCTACACTCTACATTCTACACTTTACACTTTACACTGTATACACTCCTCACTCCACACTCCACACTTTACACTCCACACTTTACACTTTAAACTCTACACTTGACACTCTACACTCTACACTCCACACCTTACACTTTACACTGTACACCCCTCACTCCACACTTTGTGTCAAAGATGATGTGTGACAAAGTGGTGTGGGACAAAGTTGTGTGCGAAAGATGGTGGGTGACAAAGCTGTGTGTGAAAGATGGTCTGTGACAAAGTTGTGTATGAAAGATGGTGGGTGAAAGGGGGTGTGTCACAAAGTGGTGTGTGAAAGATGGTGTGTCACAAAGTAGTGTGTGAAAGATGGTGTGTGACAAAGTTGTGTGTGTGTGTGAAAGATGGTGGGTGAAAGATTGTATGTCACTCCACACTTTAGACTCCACGCTCCACACTTCATACTCCATACTCCACACTCCACACTCTACACTCCACACTCCACACTCCACACTCTACACTTTACACTTGACACTCCAAACTCTACACTTTACACTCTGCACTTTACACTTTACACTCTGCACTTTACACTCTACACTTCACACTCTACACTCTACGCTCCACACTTTACACTTTACACTGCGCACTCCCCCCACAACAGTTTACACTTTACACTGTCCACCCCCTACTGTAATGATCCTCAGCCCGCTGGTTAATCGTCTACTAGAAGCCCAAACCATCTGCAGCACCTTTGGAAGACTTCTCCTTGCTTTGCAACCCTTCGCCCCCCCTTCCTCAGTATCACTTCTCATCCCCTTGCAAACTATCTTGTTCCGAACCCCAACGGACGCTGCTCTCCGTTGAGCTTCGGAGTTCCTCCATTTTCCTCCGTTTTCCCCCTGCTTTGGGCGATTTTCCTTCATTTTCTGTCGTTTTTTTTCCTACCTTTTTCCTGTCATTCCTCCATTTTCCCCCTGTTTTCAACGATTTTCCTTCATTTTCCTTGGTCTTTTCCTCCCTTTTTCCTGCCGGAGTCAACGGACCTACGGGGAATCGAAGCCTACCGTCACCTCTTTGCGTAGTGGTACATGCCCCCCAAAAAGTTCAATTTACCCGCCCTCCACTGCAACTAATTTCGAAATTTTCGTGCCACACGCGACGACCACCCCCCAGACCCCCTAATACTCACTTCGTTCGCCAAAACAACTTTGCCTAACCTATCGGCTGGCTTTCGTAAAATACGATACGTGGGTTAAATTTCAAGCAAACATGTCTGGACATTTCCACGTGGAAGGGCGCCGAACTTGAATACAAACCAGAAAAACGGCTCCAACTCTGGCCTCCACAACAGGCAAGGTGGTGGTCGTGGTTGTGGTTGTGGTCGTGGTCGTGGTCGTGGTCGTGGTCGTCGTGGTCGTCGTGGTCGTGGTCGTGGTCGTGGTCGTGGTCGTGGTCGTGGTGGTCGTGGACGGTGTGCTGGTCCTTTTTGCATCGCTGTCTGCAGACAACAAGCTGGCTCCTTCCATCTCCACAATCTCATCATTGATGTTTGACATCTCTGCTAGGAGGACGACTGATGTTGTAGTGTCCGTGGTCCTGCAGGCAAACTTGTTTGGACAAAGTGGCGTGCTCTCTCCTCTAAACCCAACAAACCTCATCTTCTTTTTAACGGCAAGCAACAAACTCACTGCACGCAGTTCCAATGGCACACTGGTCACCAAGTCATGATGTGATGGAATAAACAGGAATCCCAAACGAGTCTCTATAGTCTGAACCGAAATCTGTATCGGGCTGGGAAAACAAACAGCGGACAACTCGCTTTGGTTGCAGTTGACAGGTGTTGACAGCACGAAATTGGCTCTTGCCACCCCTTCATCCTACTTGAATCCCATAAAAAGCCAGTCCCCGTGGAATCAGCGGCAGTTGCACCAGTGTACTGATCCAGCTGATACTCCGGCCGCCCACTCACGTCCAATCTTTCAGGGCAGTAGTAGCCTTCCCACACCTTGATGCCTTCCAAGCCTTCTCCTGGCACAAAGGTCTGCCCAAAGGTGCGAGGCATCTTGCAACACCTGTACTTCATGGAGGTGGCGTTTTGGAACTCCAGCCCAGTGACAATCTCATCCTGGTCACAATTGCCGTCTTTGGTCTCACAAAGACGAGACAAACCTGGCACATAGCGACAGTTCAACCTTAGAGACACTTGCTCTTCCCGGCTTGGCCCTGGACCCCCTGCTAGTTGGTAGACCTTTTTAGCACCTTGCAGATTGAACCAGCCACCAACTGCATGGCCAGTTTCGCACAAGGCGGATGCAGGCAACTTGTCCTTGATGATCACATCTTCGCCAACCCTGGCATTCACATTGATGCAGTGAGCCGATCTGACACGTTCGTGGGCAGCTACCACTGAGCCAGGTTGGCATTGCATTCCCCACATAGTGGCTCCAAAATTGATCTCGGACCACCAACCATACTTCTCCTGTCTTTGGGGCCCACTTGTGGGGGGGAGCGAGATGAAGTAGGGATCCTGTGTGTAGGCATTGGAAAACGTGATGTGGTAGACAGAGTCTCTGACCACATCTGTCATCTGCTGAGCTGTTAGCAGGTATGGTTCAATCTCACTCTCAGCAGGCCGGCCACGATTCAGCAAGTGGCAATTCGTACTTGCCTGATGCCATCGACTGGCACATTGCGCATGAATTCATGCAAGTAGGATCAAATGGTAAATACTTCCAGTCTGCGCAATTGTTTCAACAAAAAGTGATAGAAAAACGCGCTTAAAACATTCATCCCAATATATGAATCCAATGAACATTCATCCCACCTGCGTCCCGATGGCATTGCCGGGATCGATATTGTCAAACGTGACGCTCAGTTTCAAGAGATCCTGGAGTTTGATCACCATGTCTGTCGCGCAGGACGTAACTTCTGCTCCAATGGCCTGCGCGTTCGGAGTCAAATGGAGGGATGGGTCCTTATGTGATATATATATATATATATATTGATTCATTCATTTGTTATTTTTACATGTTTATATTTACTTTAAAAAGACATTAAACACATATGTATACATGTATATTTACATATCAAATCAGATCAGGTCAAATCCTCATACCTTATCATATCATTACATCACATCACATCACATTACATTACATTACAGTAATACATTACATACATTACATTGCATTACATTACAATCCTAGACATTACATTACATGACATACCACAACAAAACATAGCATGACATAACATAACATAACATAACATGCAAACATTACATACATACATTACATACATACATTACATTACATTACATTACTTTACTTTACATTACATTACATTCCTTTACATTACATTACAAACATGCATGCATGCATACATACACTACCTACATTACCTTACGTTACCTTGCTCTACCTTACGTTAGCGTACGCTACCTTACGTTACGTTACATTACAGTACAGTACATTACATTACCTTTACATACATACATACATTACATTACATTACATTACATTACAGATACATACATACATACATACATACATACATACATACATACATTACTTACATTACATACATACATACATACTTACATACATACATACATATATACTTACATTACATTACATTACATTGCATTGCATTACATTACATTTTATTACATTACATTACATTACGTTACATTACATTACATTCATACATACATACATACCATTACATTACGTTACGTTACATTACAGTACAGTACATTACATTACCTTACATCACATACATACATTACATTACATTACATTAAATTACATTACATTACATTACAGAACATTAATACATACACACATACATACATACATACATACATACATACATTACATTAATACATACATACATACATACATACATACATACATACATACACACACATACACCAAGGGTAAACTACTCATTTGCGCCTCCAAAATTTTCTCACTTGTACCTCCTACTCACTTCCGCCTGCAACTACTCACTTGCGCCTCCAACTACTCACTCGCGCCTCCACTCCTACTCACTTGCGCCTCCACTGCTTTCTCACTTGCGCCTCCACTAAAATCTAACTATTTACTGAACTTTTCCCTGCTCTTGCTTTCCACAATGCCATGATCTAAAATCTAACTCTTTACTTAATTTCCCCCCCCCCTGGCCTTCCACAATGCCATGATCTAAATTCTAACTCTTTATTTAAACTTCCCCCCCTTCGCCTTCCACAATGCCATGATCTAAAAGCTAACTCTAGTTTTACTTTGATCTAAATTCTAGCTTGTTATTTAAACTTCCCCCCCCCTTGCCTTCCACAATACCATGATCTAAAATCTAACTCTTTATTGAAACTTCCCCCCCTTGCCTTCCACAACGCCATGATCTAAAATCTAACTCTTTATTTAAACTTCCCGCCCCCTTACCTTCCACAATGCCACGATCTAAAATCTAACTCTTTATTTAAACTTCCCCCCCCTTGCCTTCCACAATGCCATTTTCTAACACCTAACTCGTTATTTAAACTTCCCCCCCTTGCCTTCCACAATGCCATGATCTAAAAGCCAACTCTTTATTTAAACTTCCCCCCCTTGCCTTCCACAATGCCATGATCTAAAATCTAACTCTTTATTTAAACTTCCCCCCTTGCCTTCCACAACGCCATGATCGAAAACCTAACTCTTTATTTAAACTCCCCCCCTTGCCTTCCACAATGCCATGATCTAAAATCTAACTCTAGTTTTTAAAGGTTGATCTAAATTCTAACTTGTTATTTCAACTTTCCCCCCTTGCCTTCCACAATGCCATGATCTAAAATCTAACTCTTTATTTAAACTTCCCCCCCTTGCCTTCCACAATGCCATGATCTAAAATCTAACTCTTTATTTAAACTTCGCCCCCCCTTGCCTTCCACAATGCCATGATCTAAAAGCTAACTCTTTATTTAAACTTTCCGCCCCCTTGCCTTCCACAATGCCATGATCTAAAATCTAACTCTTTATTTAAACTTCCCCCCCCTTGCCTTCCACAATGCCATGATCTAAAATCTAACTCTTTATTTAAACTTCCCCCCTTGCCTTCCACAATGCCATGATCGAAAACCTAACTCTTCATTTAAACTTCCCCCCTTTGCCTTCCACAAGGCCATGATCTAAAATCTAACTCTAGTTTTTAAAGGTTGATCTAAATTCGAACTTGTTATTTCAACTTCCCCCCCCTTGCCTTCCACAATGCCATGATCAAAAATCTAACTCTTTATTTAAACTTCCCCCCCCTTGCCTTCCACAATGCCATGATCTAAAACCTAACTCTTTATTTAAACTTCCCCCCCTTGCCTTCCACAATGCCATGATCTAACTCTTTATTTAAACTTCCCCCCCTTGCCTTCCACAATGCCATGATCAATCATCTAACTCTTTATTTAAACTTCCCCCCCTTGCCTTCCACAATGCCATGATCTAAAACCTAACTCTTTATTTAAACTTGCCCCCCTTGCCTTCCATAATGCCACGATCTAAAATCTAACTCTTTACTTAAACTTCCCCCCCTTGCCTTCCACAATGCCATGATCTAAAATCTAACTCTTTATTCCCGAGAGCGTCTGAGCGCAGGGTTCTTCCAATAGTGGGGGTCTGCATCTCATCTTCTCATCTTCACACCTTCTCATCTTCACACCTTCTCTCACACCTTCTCATCTTCACCTTCTCATCTTCACCTTCTCATCTTCACACCTTCTCATCTTCACATCTTCTCTCACACCTTCTCATCTTCACATCTGCTCATCTTCACATCTTCCCATCTTCTCACACCTTCTCATCTTCACATCTTCTCTCACACCTTCTCATCTTCTCTCACACCTTCTCATCTTCACATCTGCTCATCTTCACATCTGCTCATCTTCACATCTTCTCATCTTCAAATCTTCTCATCTTCACACCTTCTCATCTTCACATCTGCTCCTCTTCACATCTGCTCTTCTTCACACCTTCTCTCACACCTTCTCATCTTCACACCTTCTCTCACACCTTCTCATCTTCACATCTTCCCTCTCTCTCACTCTCTCTCCTCTTTCCTCTCTCCTTTCTCTCTCTCCTTTCTCTCTCCCTTTTCTCTCTCTCGCCGTCTTTATCTTTCTCTCTTTAGGCCGAGGGTGGTGCCGGCGGGGAGTCACGAAACGTGAACCCTTTCGCACGAAATGATGGTCGAGCGGCAAAAACTGATGTAAAATTGCGATTTTACTTGTCCTGGAGCAACCCTTTCACACGAAATGATGGTCGATGGGCAAAAACTGAAGTAAAATTGCGATTTTACTTGTCCTGGAGCAACCCTTTCGCACGAAACGAGGGTCGATGGCGAAAACTGAGGTAAAATTGCGATTTCACTTGTCCTGGAGCAACCCTTTCGCACGAAATGAGGTTCGATCGTCGAAAACTGAGGTAAAATTGCGATTTCACTTGTCCTGGAGCAACCCTTTCGCACGAAATGAGGGTCGATCGGCGAAAACTGAGGTAAAATTGCGAGTTTACTTGTCCCCGAGCAACCCTTCCGCACGAAATGAAAGTAAAAGCGTCTGTGTGTAAAAGGGTCTGTGTGTAAAAGCGTCTGTGTGTAAAAGGGTCTGTGTGTAAAAGCGTCTGTGTGTTTTGTGTGTAAAAGCGTCTGTGTGTAAAAGTGTCTGTGTGTAAAAGTGATTGTGTGTAAAAGCGTCTGTGTGTAAAAGCTTTTGTGTGTAAGAGCGTCTGTGTGTAAAAGCTTTTGTGTGTAAAAGGGTCTGTGTGTAAACGCGTCTGTGTGTAAAAGCGTCTGTGTGTAAAAGGGTCTGTGTGTCAAAGTGTTTGTGTGTAAAGGCGTCTGTGTGTAAAAGCGTCTGTGTAAAAGCGTCTGTGTGTAAAAGCGTCTGTGTGTAAAAGCTTTTGTGTGTAAAAGCGTCTGTGTGTAAAAGCGTCTGTGTGTAAAAGTGTCTGTGTGTAAAAGTGATTGTGTGTAAAAGCGTCTGTGTGTAAAAGCTTTTGTGTGTACAAGCGTCTGTGTGTAAAAGCTTTTGTGTGTAAAAGGGTCTGTGTGTAAACGCGTCTGTGTGTAAAAGCGTCTGTGTGTAAGAGTGTCTGTGTGTAAAAGTGTTTGTGTGTAAAAGTGTTTGTATGTACAAGTGTTTGTGTGTAAAAGTGCCTGTGTGTCAAAGCGTCTATGTGTAAAAGCTTCTGTGTGACTATGTGTAAAAGTTTGTGTGTAAAAGCGTCTGCGTGTAAATGCTTCTGTGTGTAAAAGCTCCTGTGTGTAAAAGGCTCTTTGTTAAAAGTGTCTGTGTGTAAAAGTGTCTGTGTGTAAAAGTGTCTGTGTGTAAAAGCATCTGTGTAAAAGCGTATGTTTGTAAAAGCTTCTGTATGTAAAAGCTTCTGTGGGTAAAAGGTTTGTGTGTAAAAGTGCCTGTGTGTAAAAGTGTCTGTGTGTAAAAGCATCTGTGTGAAAGCGTATGTGTGTAAAAGCTTCTGTATGTAAAAGCTTCTGTGGGTAAAAGCTTTGTGTGTAAAAGGGTCTGTGCGTAAAAGGGTCTGTATGTAAAAGCGTCTGTGTGTAAAAGCTTTTGTGTGTAAAAGTGTTTGCGATGCAAACTATTGTCTTGCACTTCTGCTATTTTGTCTTGATACTCCTCTTCTCGACTGCATATAACACATCTTTAATATATTATTTCTTATATGGTGTCTCCATACTAACAAGAGAAGACCCTGCTCCTCTACGTTCTCGGGCCATCCGTCGTCTAGTTTAAACTTCCCCCCCCCCCTTGCCTTCCACAACGCCATGATCTGTAGTAGTAGTAGTAGTAGTAGTAGTAGTGGTAGTGGTAGTAGTGGTAGTAGTGGTAGTAGTGGTAGTAGTGGTAGTAGTAGTAGTAGCAGTAGCAGTAGCAGTAGCAGTAGCAGTAGCAG